TATGTACGTACGTATGTATATATATATATATATATATATATATCGGCTTTCGCACGCACCATCCAACCTATTCCTTCTCGGAATGTGGCAAGAGGAAAAGGGCGGTTCAGGTGCGTGCGCGGGCCGTGGAGGCGGAGGCTTCGGAGTGGGTTGGACCGCGTGTTGGAGACGAGGGTGTTGAGTACATCCCCGTGAAAAATATATAGGAACAGTGGCACAGAAATAGAAGCCGAAAACATGTTGAATCAGATCAGGCGGGGCCCGTCGCATCAAGTGACATCCGCCTATCAATGTTACGGAAAAACGTCTCGTTTGCATTGCGCGTTGCATGTTAGCCATCCGACTGGTGGGAACGAAACCGCAAGACAGAACGTGGAACCGCCCACGCCACCGGCCCTGTGAAATATCAACTTGGAAGATCCCCCGGGCATCAAGTGGCGTCCGCCTCCCATTTTTGCCACTGGGCGCGCAAGCCAAAGTGTGGCATATCAATGACCCATGGTGCACGCCTGCACGCTGCCAACATTGAAAGGCGCAGATCACTGAATGATCCTCTGTGGGCGTTGCAGTCTGCAGATCGTTCACGATGATCGTCGCGTTGATTTTGTTATAAGTTTCCCCGGCTGTATATTGGGTGTTGTGTTGTAGACGGAGAGGATGAGTAGAAGGGTATTGTCATGCTCAGCGTGGGGAGGGAGGGAGGCTGTTGAGTATTAGGTGCTGTGTTGTAGACGGGGGAGGGGGGTCGAGTAGAAGGTGATTTTCAAGCTCACCTTGGGGAAGGAGCCTGTTGCGTTTTGATTGTGCTGTTGGAGACGAAGGCTGTTGAGTACCGGGTGTTGTCAGCTTGGGGAGGGAGCCAGTTTGGTTCGGGGCGTTGTATTTGAGACGGAGGCTGTTGAGAATTGGATGTTGCGTTGCAGACCGACGGGGTTGAGAAGAAGTTCGTGTTCAAGTTCAGTTTGGGGAGCGAGCCTGTTGAGTATTGGGTGCTGTGTTGGGGACTGAGGCTGTTGAGTGCCGGGTGTTGTGTTGTAGACGGGTGAGGTAGAGTAGCAGTTTATTTTCAAGCTCAGTTTGGGGAGGGATCCTGTTTGGTTTCGGGTGCTGTATTGGAGACGGAGGCTGTTGAGTACTGGGTGTTGCGATGTGGACTGACGGGGTTGAGAAAAAATGCATGTTCAAGTTCAGTTTGGGGAGCGAGCGTGTTGAGTATTGGGTGCTGCGTTGGAGACTGAGGCTGTTGAGTACTGGGTGTTGTGTTGTATAGACTGGAGTGAAACATAATTTCAAGTCCAGTTCGGAGAGGGAGCCTGTTCAGTACTGGGTTTTGTGTTGGAGACGAAGGTTGGTCAGCCCTGGGTGTTGTGTTGTAGACGGAAACGGTCGAGTAGAAAGTGATGTCCAAGTTCAGTTTCGGGAGGGAGTTTGTTGAATTTTGGGTGTTCTGTTGGTTGGAGACTGAGGCTGTTGAGCACTGGGTGTTGCATTGTAGACGGAGGGGGTAGAGTAGAAGGTTATTTTCAAACTCAGTTTGGGGAGGCAGTCTGTTGAGTTTTGGGAGTTATGTTGGAGACGGAGGCTGTTGAGCGCGGGGCGTTGTGTTTTAGACGGCGGGGGTCGAGTGGAAGGTCAGATTCAAGTGTAGCTTGGGGAAGGAGCCTGTGGAGTATTGGGGGTTGTGTCGGAGACGGAGGCTGTTGAGTATTGTGTGCTGTGTTGTAGGCGGAAAGTGCCGAGTGGAAGACAATGTTCAAGTTCAGCTTTGGGGGGGAGCCTGCTCAGTATTGTGATATTGAGTGTTGTGCTTGAGACGAAGGCTGGTTAGTACTGCGCGTTGTATTGTAGGCGGAAGGGGTATCGTACAAGCATATGTTCAAGTTCAGCATGGGGAGAGAGCTTGTTGAGTTTCAGGTGTTTTGTTGGGGACGGAGGCTGTTGAGCACTGCAAGGAGCGAACATCGCGCCGAAGTTGGGCCGAAAAGCGCTGCAACAAAGAAGCCTCACAGTTGAGTGCGAAAGCCGTAGGAATCATTAATGCATGCGTATATGAAAGGCGCACGTGGGGGGGGGCATGGTGCGTGCGGAAGGCGCGGCAGGTCATTTGTACAGTACATCTATATCTCTCTATATATATGAGTATGTATGTATGTATGTACGTATGCATGTATGTATACACATTTACACATTTGTATATATAGATATGCACACATATGCATATATCGGTTAATACATATCGGCTAGCCGTCGTCAAGCCTGCGAATCTCATATCGGCAGTGTTCTGCAGCGTGCATTGCAAGATGGTGACCATCGAACCATCGCACATGATCATGCTTTGCAGCGCACGTGTTCCCAATACCTCTTGGACTGCCATCACCCCGCAAACTTTCTCGACCATTGGTCTATCAAATGAAGCCCTTGCCGGCTGGGAGCTTACCAGGGCGTCTGGAGCTCGTTTGAACCCTCCGACTTGCGCGTTGTATAATGCGTGTTGGTTTCTTGCGTACGGCCGTCGATGGGGCACGTTGGAGTTGGAGAGACACAGGGGCGCGTGAAGTGTCAGGCCATAGAGAGCGATAGGCAAGCTCACACATGTGACGCGAGGCTTCTTGAGAACGTGTGGAAGGTGCTTGCACGTGATTTGGAACAATGCTCGGCCGTTTCGGGGCATCTGGGCACGGTATTGGCAGCCGTGAGGGGATTGCGAGATTTGCCTGGGTTGCATGTTCAGATGTTTCCCGAGATAGAACGGCTGTATTTTTTCTCGCATATCCTTCGTATGGCGTTGTTGCTATCAGAGGTGCGCCACGCCTCACGCTTACTCCCGCCTGCTCCTTTCCAGCTCGCACTCAGACCCGCTCATATTCAATACTCACTCAAGCAGGCTCACCCATGCTCAGGCTCACTCATACTCAGGGTTGCTCAAATTCGAGCTCACTCACACTCAGACGCGCTCACACGCAGCCTCACTCACACAGACTCGGTCACCGAGGCCCGCTCACACAGACTCACTCACGCTCAGACCACTCATACCCAGACTCGCTCACACCCAGACTCACTAATGCTCAGGCTCGCTCGTGTTCAGACATTCACTCTCGGGTTTTCTCATATTCTGACTCGCTCGTTCACAGCCCTACGAATGCTCATGCTCATCGCGAGTTGGCCGACATGGCGTTTGAGCCTCCCGAGGGGATGTCGACCATGGGTGCTTAACGGGCACGTTCGCGCGCAGATCGCCAGGGCTATGAAGTAGAATTGGTTTCAACCATCTTGAGGTGTTGGTCCTTGTCTTGAAGAGACAGCGACACGCGTCCTCACCTCCTCTCGCTGCCCTCTCCCTCGCTCCTCCCATCCCTGCTTCTGTCATCCGCACGTCCATGTCGGTCCACGGCTCACTCGCTTCTTGACCCCAAAGGGAGCTCAACCAGACTCCCTCGGGGGGGGGGGCGCCAATTTCGGCACACCCCTCACACGGTTCGTGGCCCCACAGGGAGCTCGACCGAAGCCACCAGGGGGTGGGGGCATGTACATGCGGTCCCCCAGTCCACCACTGGGGGGGGGGGGCGGCACATGTGGTGCCCCAGCCATGTCGGCACACTGGGGGCGGGCCACACGCGGCCCCCCAGCCCGTCCCAGCACACTTCTCACACGCTTCCTGACCTCGTACCGAGCTCCACCTAAAGCTTCAGCAGCAGGGTATTGCATGCGGCCCCCACCCGCACATTTCGCCACGCCCCTTACAAGTTTTGTGGCCCCAGAGGGAGCTCCAAAGGCCTCAGTGGCAGGATATCGCATGCGTTCCCACCGCTAATTTCGGCACATCCCTCAAGCGTCTCGCGGCCCCACAAGGAACTTATCCGATTTCGCGTGCGTTGCCGATGATGAGAGGGTCATATCCTGCGCTGCTCGCAACTGCATTGGGCTGGGCTTTTCGCCACGCTAATCTTTGTTTGAGGGAGGGGGGGGTCGAAGTGCTTGTTTTCCAAAACCCCATGATCATCGCGATGAATCAGGCATGGCTCGAGGGCCTCCCAAGGGAATTCGACCAGGGATGTTCCGCAGGCCCGTCCGCGCCCATATTGTCGAAACTTGTTAGGTATGATTGCATTTGTTTGGGGGTCAGCCTCATCTCTCGTCACAACCAAACGGTTACCGCGAGCTAAGAGGAGGAGGATGATGAGGAGGAGGAGGAGGAAGAGAAGGGACACTGGACGGAGACCAGCAGCGAGCAGCAAAGAGCGGCGGAGAGCAGCAGAAAGCAGCAGAGAGCAGGGGAGAGCAGCTAGAAACAGTGCTCACACTTGGACTCGCTCACGCTGAGTCTGACTCACCCTCAGACTCGCTCACGCGCAGACGCTCCAAGCGGAAAGGGCCGGAGCAGGTGTGTACATGTAGAGATCTCCGCGTCGAGCAAGTATGGTCCGCAGCCCTTGGCTCAAGGGCTCTTGTAAGCATGAGGTCCCCCGAGCGCCACTCCGGGAGGGGGCGCGACGGGGACGGAGAGCGCGCGGGCAGACGCCGCAGCCGCTCCCGCGGCGCGTCGTCAACTGGCGGCATTCGCCTGGCGCCGGCGGGGGGCACAGCGCGCCCGCAGAGCCCCGACCCCCCGAGCGGCGCTCGCAGGCGGGACGACGACAGGGGCCCTTCGCCTGGCGCCAAGGATGCGCAGCGACCCGCTGGTCTCCGCCTGGCTCCCCGTCCTGCCGTTGCCGCGGTGGACATGCTGCGCGCAGCGGCTCGCAGCGCCGCCAGCAGCACGCTTGCAGGGAGCCAGATGAGCCACGGTGGCACCCCAGGGCGCGCTGGCAGGGAGCCGCATGGCGACCGTGAGGACGGCCGCGACAGGGAAGCACGCGACGAGGATCGCCGCGACGGCGACCCACGCGACGGGGACCGCCGCGACGGCGACCGCCGCGACGGCGACCGCCGCGACGGCGACCGCCGCGACGGCGACCGCCGCGACGGCGACCGCCGCGACGCCGGTCGCCGCGAGGGCGACCGCCGCGACGGGGATCGTCGCGACGGCGACCGCCGCAACGCCAGTCGCCGCGAGGGCGACCGCCGCGACGCTGGTCGCCCCGACGAGGACAGACGCGACGGCGTCCGCGGTGGCGCTGTCCGCCGCGACGGCGACCGCCCAGACGAGGACAGACGAGACGCCGAGCGTCGCGGTGGCGACCGCCGAGGAGCGGACCGCCATGGCGGGGGCGGCGGGGGGACGGACGCGCACGTGGCGCGCGGCGGCTCGGCCGGCGATTGGCGCGCCACGGGCAGGCATGCGCCGCCATCGCCGAGGAAGGGCCCCCGCGAGGGCCTGGGCAGCAGCCCTCCGCCAGGCCCTGCCGCAGAGCGCGGGCCCCGCCAGAGGAGCCCCAGGCCCCAGGTGCGCAGCCGCAGCCCAGGGCTGCGGAGCCGCAGCCACAAGTCGCCAGGGCCGCGCGTCCCGCCTGCGCCTCCGCCCCCGCCGGCGGGGCTGATCAGCCGCCGGGCGGTGAGGTCCGTGCCGCGCGATGCGCCGGCCGAGGCTACCTCCACCAAGGCGCGCGGCGCTCCCCCTCGTCACAAGGCCGCGGGCGCGAGAAAGAGAGACGACCCCTTTGCCCCCTCGCCTCCCCGCAGCGTCCGCCTGGCGCCCGCCGCCCCATCGCCGCCCCGCAGTGGCAGACCACCACCGCCGCCACTGCCGCCAGATCGGCCTCGGCGCGAGCGGCGGCGCACCCGGAGCGGCGACGGGGATGCCACACCGCCACCTTCGCACGACGGCGCGCGGCCGAAGGGCGCCCCCGCGCGGGTTGCGCCGCCGCCTCAGTTGCGCCTCCAACCTGGCGTAGGGGATCGCGCCGCCGAGGGGCCAAGCGCCAGCGGCGACGAGCAGGATCCTCGCTCGGCGGGCGCGAAGAGCAGGCTCGACGAGCCCATCGAGGAGCCCAGTGCAGACTTCGCTGGGGAGCCGAGCGTTGCCCCGACCGAGGACGTAGAGGATGCAGTCTCAGACATAGCCGCCAACGACACCGACCAGACCCTCGCAGCTTTGGCAGCCGCCGAGAAGGAGTCCGACGCGCAACTGCGGGCCAACCTCGAGGCGGCCCAGAAACTCAAGGACGCGGAGGAGGAGGAGGAAGAGGAGGAGGAGGAGCCCGAGCGGCCGCTCAGCCCGGCAATCGCGGCGTCGTCGAAGGCGGCCCCCGCCAGGAGGGTCTCCATTGCAGAGCCCGAGGACGTGCCCGGCGAGGAGGGCCTGGAGGCCGAGCAGGCCGAGAGGCGCCGGGCCCGGGCCCCCCGGCGGCGCAAGAGCGCGCCGAGCCACGCCGGCGGCCCAGACAGGCCGCGGCGCGACCGGGCGCCCCACGGCGCCGGCCGGCGCCGGCGCCGGGGCGGGAGCGCGGCCGAGCCCGACGAGGACCCGCCGGGCCCGACGGGGCACCGCAGGCGGCAGCCGCTGCCCGAGGGCCTGGGCGAGCTGCGGCCCCCGCCCCCGAAGGACGGCGGCGGCGGGGAGGCCGCCGCCATGGCGGGCACCGGCACCCGCGGCAAGGCCGCGCCCCGCGCGCCACCGCGGCCCGAGCCGCTCAGCCCCGATGTCGAGGCGGCCGCCGAGCTGGAGGAGGCGGGCGCCGAGGCGGAGCCGCGGGCGTCGGCCGCGACGCCGGAGGCCGTGCCGGCGCAGCCCTCGCCGGAGCGCGCCACTCGGCGGCGCAAGCGGCCCCGCGGCGCGGGCGCCGAGGAGCGGCCCGGGCGCGAGCGCGGACGGCGGCGCCGAGGCGCGGCCCCGCGAGAGCAGGGCGCACTGCGGGCCGAGGGGGGGCCCGCCGAGGAGCCCTTCGAGGCCGAGCCCGCTGGTGCTGGGGTCGATCAGGCGCCCTGCCTTCTCGGAGCGCGCAGAAGACATCTGCACGTTGCCTCGATGCCTGGCCAGGGCCATCCTGGGCCCTGGCATTGCAGGTACGCCCTCCTGGCCGAGGCCAGAAGGTCTATACGCCATCATGGGTTGGGGCCCAGGATGGCCCTGGCCCAGGCGTGGTGGCGGTGTATGGGGGGAGGGGTCCGAGCAAGTGGGGTCGAAGGATGGCGCCGAAGCGCCGGTGCATCGGTGATGCGGCTCGATGCGGAGCCCGAGTTTCTCCACGCCGATGTCGCGCCGCATCGCCGACGTCGCCGATGCATCGACGATGCATTGGCGATGCGGCGCGATCCTCCGACCCCATCTACTCGGACCCCATCTGGGAGGCCTCTAGCTTAGGGGTGAGGCTCAGGGGCAATGTGGCGCTCGAAGTTCGAGGTTTTCGGCGGTTCTCGTCGGTTCTCGGCAGCTTGAAAGCCTCGGGATGCGCTGCAGCAGCTGCTCCTCGCCGGGACCGTCCCGAACGGTACCCAGATTGTCCCGAACGGCCGCCAGAGGCGCAAGTTCTGGCCCAAGGGCGAAGGGGCAACGTTGGGGGGGGAGGAGAGGCTCAAGGGGGGGAGACTCGTCGCCCATTCCAGGTCTCGAGCTGAACGGTGTTTTGGCGATTTCGTGGGCTGTTTTCGTTTTGATCTCGTGTCGCAGCACAGGCAGCACGAAGACAGAACACAGGAAACGAAAACAAAACGAGAACGAAAAACACTGTTTAGCTCGAACCCTGGCCATCCCTGGCCCATTCATCGCCGACACGGGCCAAATAGCCCACCCCGCCCTGGAGCGCTCGGTTTCGCGAATTATCGGGGGCCCGCCGCCCGATGTTTTGTCGATGCATCGCCGGTTCCGTCGGTGTTCCTTAAGATCCGACGACTCGAAAAAATGCGACATCGATGCTGCATCTTTCTCGACTGGAGCCCTGGACTGGAGCCCTGGACCCCACCTGTCTGCCGCATGTTTCGAGCCAGGTCGATCACTGCGCCCAGTCGGAGGAGGAGGGGGAGGAGGAGGAGGAGGGGGAGGAGGAGGAGGAGGAGGAGGAGGAGGAGGAGGGGGAGGAGGAGGAGGAGGAGGAGGAGGAGGAGGAGGAGGAGGAGGAGGAGAAGGAGAAGGAAGAGGAGGAGGCCCTCGGGGATCGCCCGTCGTGAACAGACTGCGGCGCCAGGACTGCCGTTCCTGGAGCCAGTCCGCCCCTCTTACAGGGCGGAGCCTGGGCGAGGAAAGTCCTCTCCAGAGCTTCTCGGAGCGCTCTCAGAGAGCTTCGGGCGGGGGGGTGGCCCAAATGGGGGGCGGGGACAATGTGCCCCACAGGAGCCCTCCAGGGCCCTTTTTGAGCCAAATGTGGGGTGGGGATAGTGGGCCCCCAGGGCCCCTTTTGGATTTGATAAGAGGTGGGGATAATGGGCCCTAAAGGGGCCCTCGAGGGCCGCTTTGGGGCTCTTGCTGGCTCCAAAAGGGGTCTTAGAGGGCTCCTTTAGGGCCCAGATCCCCACCCCCCATTTAATCCGAAAAGGCCCCAATCCCCGCCCCCATTCAGTCCAAAAGGCGCCCCCTTTTTGGAGCCAGCAGGAGCCCAAAAGTGGCCCCAGAGGGGCTCCTTGAGGGCTCCTTTCTTCACCCCCCACTTCAGTCCCCCCCCGGACCACCCGCCCGAGAGGCTCTGGGACTGCCGCGGTGCCCGATACATCCTCTGGAACCGCCAGGTCTCAGAGATTTCTGGTTGCACCCTCGCCCGAGCTGATCCCCCCCCCGCAGGGGCAGGAGCGGCAGCCGTCGTCCCACGTGGAGATCACAGGCGGAGAGCGGCTCCTGTTCACGCCAGACGTCGACATCACGGGCGACCGGCTGCTGTCCTCGCCGGACGTGGAAATCGCCACGATCTCCGTGCTCCCTGGCGCCGAGGCGGCGGCCGCAGAGGCGGAGGCGCCTGCCAGCGTGTGGGCGGGCGGGAAGGCCCCAGCCCGCGGCGGCGGCGCGCGGGAAGAAGGGCAAGAGCAGGCCGACGGCGCGGAGGATGAGGCAGAGGACGACGAGGACCCAGACCCCCTCGCGTCGTGAACAAGATCACGACGGAAGGCTTTTTGCCATTTTGGGCCATTGGGGGGCCTCAGCGGGCCCCAGGACCGTCAAAGAACGATTCAGGATGAAAGACTTGTCCCTGGGAATTGATCGAGACCTCCAGGGGTACACGTTGTGAAATGATTATGACGTCGGGGGTCTGTTAGGATGAGGATGAAGAGGAGGAGGAGGAGGGCGAGATGAAGAAGCAGGGCGAAAAGGATGGCGCTGTCACCAAGCGCCACTCGGAGGCCCGGACAAAGGATGCCGCCGCCGAAGGTGAGGACGAGGAAGAGTCTGCGGAGGACGACGAGGAAGAGGAGGAGGAGGAGGAAGAGGAGGAAGAAAACCAGGAAGATGAGGAAGCGAAGAACGAGGGCGAGGTGACTCAAGACCCAAGAGGGGATCCCAAATTTCTTTCTTATCAGAGGGCGCCGGATACGCTCTCCGCATCCGTTGGTCTGATTGCTCGGTTGGCTGTCTCGCTGCGTGGGCGCTCCTTGCGCTGGCTGGGTATTCCGGGCTCTCGCTCGGTGGGCCCCGTCGGCGCGTCGTGGGCGTCCGTAGGCGCTTCGTGCCCGCCCTTTCGCTGGCTGGCTTTCCGGGCTTTCGCTCGGTGGGCCCCCGTGAGCGCTTTTTATGAGTTGGCATCCCGTTCGGGATTTGCTGGGTTTTCGCTTGGTGGGCGCCCCGTGCCTTGACTTGAGTTTCTGGGTTTTTGACTGGTGGGCGCACGAGGCGCCTCGTGGGTGCACCACAGCTTGCACTACAGCTTGCACCGCGTAGACTGCACCTGGTAGATCGCACTATTTTTGCCAACGTGGACCCCACGTATTGATCGAAGAATAAAAACGAACACATAAACATAGTCTGTTCTGGCGCTCCGCGCGGATTTCTTGGATCCGCGCCTGGGCCCCCCGGCGGCGCCTCCGGCGCCGACCCTGGCGCGCTCTGCGCGCCAGGGAGGGGGTCCAGCGCGAATCCAAGAAATTCGCGCGGAGCTCCAAAAGTTTATGTTTATGTGGGTTTTTGTTTTCGAATTTATCTCTTGCTCTTTAGGTGTGGAAGCTATGTGGCGCACGGTATGTGGTGCAAGTTGTGTAACTCAGTTGCCAACTAAAGTTGTCAACTGCACGTCTCAAACGGTGTGCGGGCGCGCGGGCACCTCAGTGCGGGTCGGTGATATCGGGCGGGCGCGATATCATGTTGACACCGACAACGGCTAGTGCAATGAGGATAGTAGCGAAACTTGTTTTGATATGAGGACGGTGACGACGGGAAAATGATGTCTATGCTCGGTTTAAAAATACATTTGGCATATGTGTTGCCCCACGACTTTCGTATGTTATTGAAAAGGCTAGGTGTTGAAATGTTCCGCCGGATTTTGGCACGCGCGCGTGGCGGCTAATATCGCGTGGTGCCCTTATAATTTCAGCAAGTGTACGCGGGCAGAAAACTTGCGCAACTTTTGAAGAACAGACATCCATGAAGATGTAGTGGTGTTTTATGGTGTAGCGCTTGCGCAACGAATGTGCTCGGTATGGTTTCGGCATGTGCGCGCGCGCCTGGACTTTCTTGTTTTTGATGCAAGGAAGTCTTAGGAACATATTTTTGATAGAAACAAATACGCGCACATTGTATTTTGTTGAAGGTAATGAGGGGGCGTGTATATTCTGGCCTGGTTGGCATGGTATGATTGCGCGTGTAAAATGATCGATGAGGTCGGGTCATTTGGAAATCTCCAGTACAAGACGTTTGGGCTTGCGAGGGTGGTAGAGCGTATTGTCCTCTTGAATGTAGAATCCAACTGTGGACGTTGCAAGCGTTTCCCACGTGGCGTGAGAAGCATCGGCGCCGTCTTTGGCCCTGCCGTCGTCTCTGTCATCGTCGTCGCCAGCATCGCTACTGTCATCATCGCGTCTGCCAGCGTCGACGTCGCCATGATTGATACCGCGCCCGCCCGATTCACCGGCTCGCGCCGAAGTGCCGGCGCGTTAGCGCGGCCTGCGCGTCGCGCTGGGGAGTCCTCAGCGGTCAGCGCCACCGCGGCCGCGTCGGTCGCGCCAGACGAGCTGGCAGCTGCGCGCGAGAGCCTCCAAGCGTTAGCGCGTTCGCAGCGATGCCAGCGTGCGCCGAGCAATCATCGCAATCGCTGCCGCATGGGTTTTGCAAACCGAGGCGCGGGTGGACGGGTGGGACACTTTCGAGTTCGGCAGGGTAAACTGCATTGCTTTTCAAGAAGAGGATTGGGATCTTACCCCCCTGGGGTTAACGGGCCACCTTATCGCGTTGCCATTTGCATATGGCGTTGCTCATATGGATTTCAAAACCGAGCGCCCCGACAACATATCCAAAAAACGCGCGGTGTCTCAGCGAGGGTTTCCAAGAGGAGCTCGTGCCCGCGCGTTTGCAAAACCTGAAGGGAACCGCGAGTTGTTCAACGCTTTCAGAAAGTGCTACCAAACGAGCATCGACTCGCACTAAGCGCCCGCTGGATGTGCTCAGTGGTCAGCGCCGCCGCGGCCGCGCAGGTCGCGCCGCGCAAGCTGGCCGCCGCGCGCGCGAGCATGCGCGGGCTAGCGCGGCCGCAGAGATGCACCAGCCGACGCCAAGCACTCATCGCAATCGCCGTCGCATGGGTTGGCAAACCAAGTCGCGGGCGGGCGGGCGCGGCGATTGCGCGCGCCGTGGAGCTGACAACTCATTGCGAGCATTGGTGGGTTCTCCCGTCTAAGAAAGAATAATGATCCACCGCCCCCCCGAGGCCGGACTTATCTGCACCTCCTGGGAACGTGCAATTTACGTGCGATTCTGCCCCATCGCCCATCCTAAATACGAACTCAAACCATCCCAGCCTGGCCGGAGTTCGCCCCCCCCCCCCCCTCCCCCGCCTCGCAAACGCATCCGTTGCGGCAGATTTTGCGCGCGCGCCCTCGTCTATGACAAATCAGCCGTCGTCGAGAATCCTCCGCGAAAACCGGGCGAAGTGAACGCGCGCGCGACGCGAGGAAAAAAAGGAGTTGCAAGGATGTCAAGATCGAGCGCTCCACATGTGTGCATATATAACATGGCTTCGCAACAAAGCTCTTCAAGAAATGCCTGCGCCCGCGCTCATGCGAATTATTAGGAGAACCATGCGCTTTCCAACCTTTCCGTGACACGCTGCCAATCGGGCCCCTCGCTCGCGCGCGCCGAGATCGCTCGGGCGCCCTCGCGCGCGCGCGCTGTCGCAAGGGCCCCCCGCTGCAAATGGGGCGGAGCGCGCTCGCGCGCGCGACGTCGCACGCGCGCGCCGGGATCTTCCAAAAACTTTCAGGATTCGCAAGGACGTCAGAAACGAGCGCCCCGAAAATGCATGAATGCGCATGTTTTTGCAACACCAGTTTCCACGGGGGGGGACTAAGCGCGCGCCCGAGGGAATTCTTCCGAACATCACGGTTTCTCTTTCTAGAGTTGCCATCGCATTCTGCCAAAGCGGGCATCTCGCGCCGCGCGTCGAATTCATTCGGGTGCCCTCGCGCGCGCGCTGGGGGGGTGCGGGGGCGGGGGGGGGGGCGCGATCCGCGTCAAATAATACCGCGCGGTCCACTCGCGCGCGTCGGCCGCGCGCGCGTCGAACTCCCCCCCAAACTTTCGTCGCCGACGCGAGGACGTCGCCATCGTTATCGGCGGGCGCGATCAACGTCGGCGCCGTCATCGGCCTTGCCGTCGACATTGCCAGCGTCGTCAACATGCGTCGCTACTCTCGCCATCGCGCCCGCCGCTGCGGCGTCGCCGCGATGCCGCGCCCGCCCATGTCACCGACTCGCACTGAAGCGCCCGCTGGAAGTGCCCGGCGGCCAGCGCCGCCGCGGCCGCGTCGGTCGCGCCGCGCGAGCGGGTCGCTGCGCGCGCGAGCATGCGCGGGCTAGCGCGGCCGCAGAGATGCGCGAGCCAACGCCTTGCACTCGTCGCAATCGGCGTCACCGTCGCATGGGTTTCGCAAGCCAAGTCGCGGGCTGGCGGGTGGGATGCTTGCGCGGGCGGTGGATTTAACAATTTTAAGTTCGGCAAGGTGAATTGCGCCGCGTAGATACTCCGTGCTAGAACGGCAATAGGATCTACCCGCGCGCCCCATCCGGACCTAACGGATCCCATCTTTGCATTGAATTTGCAGTTGTTGCAGCCCCGTCGTCAATCCTGAGCACGAATTCGCATCGCCCCAGCCAGCCCGGCAATCCCCCTTCCACCCCGTGCAAAAATACGACGCGCGCGCATCCGTGCATCAAAAACCATCAATGGTAACAAATCCTTGCGAACCAAAAAAACATTACGAAGTGCACGCGCGAACGTCGTCGCGCGCGCGCGCCGAATTCCACTGCAAGCTCGCGGCGCCGCAAGGGCCTAAAAATCACTCGCCCCGAGGACGCATGAGAACATGCGGTTTCGCGACAAGGATGTTCCTGGAAAGCTCGCGGCCGTGCTCTGGCAGAGTCAGAAGAGAACCGCTGGATTTTCAATCGATAAATTAAGATGCGCCTCTCGCGCGCGCGCGTCGACATCGCCCGCGCGCCCCCGCGCGCGCGCTGACGCGAGAACCCCTTGCAAAAAAGAGGGCGAGGCGCGCGCGCGCGCCGTCGCGCCCGCGGAAATCTATCAGCAGCCTCAGGATTCGTGAGGATTTCAAAACCGAGCGCCCCGAAAACATACACAAACCTATGGTTTTGCAACGTCAACGTTAAATGGCACGCGCTCGCGCTCCTGTGAAGTTTCGACAAATCCATTGTTTGTCGACATGTTGAGTAATTTGGCCAAACGTGCCTCTCGCGCCGAATGTCGAAATCATTCGAGCGCCCTTGCGCGCGCGCTGGGGGGGGGGGGGGCGCTATCCGTGTCAAACAGTACCGCGCGGGCCACTATCGCGCGCAGGCCGCGCGAGCATGTCGAACTCCCTCCAAAACTTACATTTCCGTCGCGAGGACGCCGTCATCGTCGTCGGCGCGATCCGCATCGGCGTCGTCGCTGGCCGCGCCGTCGTCGCTGTCATCATCGCCGCCAGCGTCGCGACGATCAGCGCGGCGTCTACCGTCGGCGACGTTGCCGCGGTGCCGCGCCCGCCCATGTCGCCGAATCGCACTGAAAGTGCCCGCTGGGCAGCTGCGCGGTCAGCGCTGCCGCGGCCGCGTCGGTCGCGCCAAATTAGCAGGCCGCGCTGCGCGCGAGCGCGCGCGCCAGGGCGGCCGCGGCGACGCGCCAGTCACCGCCGAGCAGTCATCGCAGTCGCCGCCGCATGGGTTTTGCAGATCAAGTGGCGGGCGGGCCGGCGGGATGAGTGCGCAGCAGTGAGTTGGCCGCTTCAATTTGACAGGGTGAGGTTATACATATATATATATATATATAGATATACACACAT